ACAGGACTAATGAGGCGCAGCAGTCCAGGGACAAGGACTAGAAGGCAGGAGAGGACAGGAAAGCTGGTGATAGGGAACCCAAGGTTGGGAAGGGACAGTGTTGACATGTCATGGGGTTGTTAACCATTGTCATAAAGCAATATGTGTACTAACTGTTTAATGAGAAACTATTTGTTCTGCAAACCTTCATCTAAGGTACAGAAAAAAAAAATTATCTATGTGAGATCAAATTGACAACAGCAACTCAAAAGGTTTGATGGGAAGATGGGAAGCCTAGGGGACAGTGAGTTGAAGATAATGGTGATGGAATAGTTTGGAAAAGGATAGTGAGAATAGCACAACTGGAAGAATGTAATTGATGTCACTGAATTGTACATGTAGAAACTTTCAAAATGGTGTAACTTCGGCTATGTGTATTTTCACCAAAAATAAAGTCCTCAAGATCGAGAAGGGACAGTGTTCACATGTCGTGGGGTTGTTAACCAATGTCATAAAACAGTATGTGTACTGACTGTTTAATGAGAAACTAACATCTAAAGTACAATTAAAAAAAAGTTAAAAAACAAAACAAAACACAGTAGCTTCATTTTTTGCTTCCTGGAATAATTTTATATTTCATGTATTTAGTTGGACTTTCTGTTAGTCAGTATCTTAATGCTAAAACTTGATGCTAAGAATTTTAATAAATTAATGCAAAGAAAAATACAACAGTATTTTTTGTATATGTTTAATAAAAGCAGGAAAGCTTTTAATTCACATCTAAGTGAGCCAGCACTTTCTATAAAATGTTTTTATCTTGTGCCATTTTTTAAAAAATTTTTGTGTTTTTTTAGGTTTCAATTTTTAAAAAATTCACTTTTGCAATTTCTGTCTGGTCCCATAACTGAGTTGAATTCAGAAGGGCCTTGGATTCTTAGGTTGGTAAGGTAGAAGTTTTTTGGTTTTTTGCTTTTTTTTGCCAGAGTACCACAGACTTTACTACCATATGCCCACTTAAAAGAAATATTGATGGATTTTTGAGGACATTAAACTGGATCTAAAAATTGGGACACAAACATACATACACCATTAGTTGGAAGAGGGTATTAGTGTTAATGTGTTAGGATAAAGGAGCATCTTCAGTCAGAATGTCTGAGATTACAATATGACATTAGATGCATTTCAAAATATGCTCCACTGGAATAGTGTGGTGAAATTTGGTAGCCTCTGGGACTCCCTTTGATGTTGGTCTAATAAATCATTCAGAAATAGTCAAGTAAGAAAGATCCTTTATCACACTCTATAGAATAAAAGAAGAATTTAAGTAATAGAAGCTCCTCACCCACTATTTTAAGCCCCATGTAGTTGTCTGGACTTCATAACTAGCCTCATCCACATTCTAGGCTTAACCGTGAGGGTGTCAGTTACCACTGCAATTACAATTGATTCTTTAGCTATGGTTATGACATATGTAACATAAAACATGTTCTTACTTTAGAATAGACATTATGGCTGAATCAATTATTTATAACTAAACTTAGTTAAATTTCAATTCTTTATTGCTATCTACTTTTTATATTTCTGCTCCTTTCCACACAAACACAAAAGAGGAGATACCTGGTGAAATGGAAAGAGCCGTGAGTGGAGTAAGTGGACTGGCGTTTCATGAATGCCACTAACCAGCCCTCTGACCTTGGGCAAGTCACACCACCTCACTCGACCCTATTCCTTGTTGCTATAGCAAGGGAGTTGAACTAGATTATCTTAAAAGTCTATTCCAGTTCCTACGGTTATATTATTTTAGAAGTTAATTTCAGATGTTATTTTTTCCTTTAAGTGCAACTAAATATTTTCTACCTTTGTAGTAGTAATACTTTTTTGACATTTCCTGGAAAGAAGTGAGAGAATAATTTTTTTCAAAGGGTCAAAGAATCTCCCCCCCGCCCCATTTTCTTTTTTTTTTTAAATGGGAACTCACTATAAAACATTTAAACAATAAAAAGGTATATAAATTGGAAGATAATCGTTCATAACTACAGTTATACTTTTTAGAAAGTAGTTAACATTTTGGTATTTATTTTTCTTATTGTTCTATGTCAAAGCATTTATATCCACCAAGTCAGTGTTTATGGCAGTAGTATTAGGATATGCCATAATTATTAACCAATCTAGTGGTACAATGGTTAAGTGCACAGCTGCTAACTGAAAAGGCTGGCAGTTTGAACCCACCCAGCGGCTCCATGGGAGAAAGACCTGGCAATCTGTTCCCATAAAGATTATAGCAGAGAAAGCCCTGTGAAGCTGTCTACTCTGTCACGTGGGAGTCGCTATGAGTCAGAATTGACTGCGCAGCACACAACTCCTGTTGATGGACACTTGGGTTTTTCCACTTAATATTATAAATAACTTTGAGGAATACCATGTACAAATATCCCTGTGTCCACTTATTTCCAAAGGATAAACTTCTAGAAGTGAAAACGTTTGGATCACAAAGGTATACACATTTTACTTTTACCGTATGTTGCTAGAATGCTGTCCTGAAATGTTAAGAATTTTTTTTTCTTTTTTTTTTTGGCTTTAACAAAGAGAAATTTATTCTCTCACAGGCAAGTAGGCTACAAGTCCAAATTCAGGGTGTCAGCTCCAGGGGAAGGCTTTCTCTCTTTGTTGGCTCTGGAGGAAAGTCCTTGTCATCAGTCTCCCCTTGGTCTGGGAGCATCTCAGCGCAGGAACCTCAGGTCCAAAGCATGCGCTCTGCTCCCGGTGCTGCTTTCTTGGTGGTATGAGGTCCCCCCTCTCTGCTGACTTCCCTTATCCTTTTATCTCTTGTAAGATAAAAAGTGGTGCAGGCCACACCCCAGGGAAACTCCCTTTCCATTGGATCAGGGATGTGACCTTAGTAAGGATGTTACAATCCCACCCTAATCCTTTTTAACATAAAATTACAATCACAAAATGGAAGACAGCCACACAATACTGGGAATCATGGCCTAACCAAGTTGACAGATATTTCTGGGGGACCCAATTCAATCCATGACAGTGTTCCTTAGTCTGAATCCAGCTGTTTCATTTTACCTTCATTTTTAAAGGTATTTAACTTGAGTATAGAACTCTAGCTAACAGCTTACTTTTTTTCAGCACTTTAAGGATATTTTTTTTCCTGCATTCTGTCATTTCTACAGAGAAATCAGTGGGTAGTCTTACTGTTATTCCTCTGATGACAATGTGCCTTTTTTCTGTGGCTACTTTTAAAATTTTTTTCTTTCTCTTTGTTTTTTTTTTATTTTATTTTTTTTTTATTGTACTTCAGGTGAAGGTTTACAGAACAAATAGTTTCTCGTGAAACAGTAGTACACATATTGTTTTATGACTGGTTAACAACCCCACAACATGTCAACCCTCTCCCTTCTCGACCTTTTTTTTTTTTTTTTTTTTTTTGGTGAAAATACACATAGCCAAAGATACACCATTTCAAAAATTTCTACATACACAGTTCAGTGACATCGACTACACTCTTCCAGTTGTGCTGCCATTGTCACTTTAGATGAAGGTTTACAGAACAAAATAGTTTATCATTTAACTGTTGGTACACATGTTGCCCTATGAAAATGGTTAACAACCTCACAACACATGAAACTATACTTAACTCAACCTTGGGTTCCCTATCACCAGCTTTCCTGTCCCCTTCTGCGTTCTGGCCCTTGTCCCTGGACTGCTGTGCCTCATTAGTCCCATTTGGTTTTATGGGGCTGTCCATTCCTCGGCTGAACGGTGAACCTTGGAAGTCACTTCACTACTGAGCTAAAAGGGTGTCTGGGGGCCATACTCTCGGAGTTTCTCCAGTCTCCTTTAGGCCAGTAAATCTGGTTAAGACTCTTTTCTTGATGGTACTTTATTAATTTCTGATCAGCCTTTCATGACAAGCATGCATCTGTTGTTAATAGGAAGTTAAAACTTGAAATGCATGTATTTTGATAAAAGAAACTTTGCAGTTTTAAATAACCTTACTGTTATTTTTAGATGTAGGCAATTGAGTATTGATGTTTCAAGTTTGATGTCATGTACATTTTAGTTTGTCAGTTAATATTTTGCATTGAGATTGCAGGGTAAATCACTAGAGATTATGTACATTTTTACTGGTTTCTAAATTTCCAAATGGCCTTGTCAACTATATGTAAATTCATACTTATATAACAATCATAATTTTGATACTTTTGTAACTTTGTTTTTGCTTTTAGAAACCTAGCTATTTTGAAATATTTTCAAAATTTGCATGCAGAATCAATTTATCAGGCTTTTCAGTCTTACAGAGATTTTGATGGTTTCACTACTATGAAAAGATGTATATTTAAGCATTTGTGCTGTAATTTTATAAAGACCTTTATGCTTTCTCTTCACAGGTATGCATTCCTCAGCAGCAACTGAGCTGTTCGTTACTGGACCTTTGCCAACCACTGGAACACTTCCACCATCTGCCCTCTCTGCTTATCAGCATCCTGCCACCTTTAGCAACAGAAACTTTGCTACCAGCTCACCTTTGGTGCTTCAGGATTCAACTTTTAACACTACATCAAATGGAATTTTAAATCCTCATGATCCTTTGCTACAAATCAAGACTTCCCAGGGAACTGTTCCAACTGCTTTGGCATTTGAGCGCCTGGGCAGTTCTGCGTTAAGTAACAGCATACCACCTCAGTCTTCAACATATCGCTCAGCTCAAGAGTCTGCACCCCATCTTTTACAACCTCAGTTTAGTTTGTTGCCTTCTGCACTTGGAGGAGCCCAGCAAACTCCTCAAGCCTACAATTCAACTCTCTTTTCTAGTTCTACTGCATCCATTGAAAGAGCTCTTCTTCGAGAATGTAGTGTTATTAAACACCATCAGCGGCCTTCAGGTACCCAGTCTATTCAGGCACAACTGACTGGTTCACAGCATTCCTTACATAGTTATCTGTCAAATGCAAGTGTAGTTAATTTTCAGGAAACAACCAGGCAGTCATCTTTATCCTGTAGCTCAATTGGAGATTCTACTCAGGTGAGCAATGGAGGATTGCAACAGAAGACCTCCCAGGTCTCAGTGGAACTTGCTCAGTCTTATTCATCTGCAATTCCATCACCAGGGTATCCTCCTTCTACTACAAAAGTAAAAAACTGTTCTGTGAAACAACCACCAAGGTCAACTAAGACCCCCAAACCTCAAAGTATAATTCCTCCTTTGCAAACACTAAGCTATTCCAAACCCTTACATAACCAGAGTTCTGTAATACCAGGCCAAGCACAAATTTATTCTACAGCACAGCTACCAAGCCTTTTATCAGTTAGTCAGTCCCAAAATTATGGTTTAGTACAACCACATAATGTGCCATCTATTGTTCATTCACAGGTTTATAGGTCTAGCAAGGTTGAGAAGTTGCCATCCTTATACAAAACATTGACTTTTTCTGGGTCATCTCAGACTATAACTTCTGAAAATCAGACACTTAGTTATTCTTCTGATGAGCAACAGGTATTATCTTCAGTTACAAGTGAGAATTACCCTGCCCAAACAAGAGATCTATCTTCAGTTAGTCAGTCTCCAAGTTATTCGTCTAGTCACTCTCAGAGTTTATCACCAGTTAGCCAGTCACAGGTTAGCTATTCATCTCAGTCACAAGTTTTGTCAGTTGTTAGTCCTTCAGAAAGCTATGCTTCAGGGCAGTCCCTAACATTAACAGCCCCTTCTCTTTCTTATTCTAATGCCTCTCGTGCTCAGAATTTGCCAGCATCTAGCCCAAACCAGAATTACATTTCTTTGCATTCTTCCCAAAATGCTCAGAGTCAAGGGTCATCATCTCCCCAGTCCCAAAAGTATTTGCCTGCTGTCCAGTCAACATCTTTTGCATCCTCTACTCATTGTCAGACATTACAGAATAATATACCTTCCCCTGATCCAAAGTCTTACTCTGAAAGAAAGCTTGACTCAAATGTTTATACATCTTCAAAGGAAGAAAATGATTTTCCAATGCAAGAGTTACAGGTGTTACAGTCACCAACATCTCTTGAGTCATCAACCCAAAGGCTGTCTGATAGGGAAATTAATGCTCAAGAATCAGCTTATAAAGTATCAAAGGCAGATGACAGGTATTCTCAGAGTGTAATCAGAAGTAATTCTCGTCTTGAAGATCAAGTTGTTGGGATTGGTCTACAAGGGTCAAAAAAAGAAGAAAGCGTGGGTGGATCAGTGACACAACTTAGTCAGCAAATTGGCCAGATCAATAATACACCAACCCTTGATATTAAGAAGGCAACTAATTTAATGCAAGCTCCACAAATAAGGTTGAACACTAAAGACCTAAATGAGCAGCATTCTCTTATGCATAAGGTACCTGAAGCCAAGATCCAGGAACAGCATGATCAAATAATTAATGCTTCATCTCAGATTCAAATTCCAACTCATGCTTTAGGGCATGGTCATCAGGTGTCTGTTCCTAATACACAGGTCCTTTTAGACTCGGCTTGTGATTTACAAATTCTTCAGCAGTCATTACTACAGGCAGGTTTAGGACAAGTAAAGGCGTCTTTACAAGTACAGCGTGTTCAAAGTCCTCAGCAAATAGTACATCCTTTCCTTCAAATGGATGGTCATATTATTCAGAGCAATGGTGATCATCCTCAGCAGCAGCTCCATCCTCAAAATTCTGAAATTATGAAAATGGACCTCTCTGAGTCTTCAAAACCATTACAACAGCATCTAACAACAAAGGACCATTTTAATGAAACAAATCAACATGATTCAAAGAATCAGTTTGTTTCTCTTGGATCAATATGTTTCCCAGAGGCAATGCTTCTCAGTGATGAAAGAAATATCTTATCAAATGTAGATGATATCTTAGCAGCTACAGCAGCAGCTTGTGGAGTTACACCTTCTGAGTTTTCCAAGTCAACTTCAAATGAAACTATTCAGTCTATTGAAGAAGGTGATTCTAAATCTCATTTTCAGCAGGCATTAGATGTTAGGCATGTGACCTCAGATTTTAACGCCATCACAGCCACAGTGGGAAAGCCACAGAATATAAATGAAATTTCTTTAAATGGAAGTCAGATTGCCATCAATCTTTCACCAGTACCTACTCTTCAGTCAAAAATGACTCTTGATCAAAAGCACATTGAAACACCTGATCAAAGTACAGCATCTAAAGTAACTTCATCAGTGGTTGGAACAAGTCATGAAGGCCAGGAGCAAAGTTCTGGCTCAGTCAAAAAATACTCTTCTACCAATCATGAATCTGAAGAAAACAGCGAAGTTCCTATTGATAATACATTAAATAATAACAGAAACCAAGAATTTGTTTCTAGTAGTAGAAGTATAAGTGGAGAGAGCGCTACATCAGAGAGTGAATTTACCTTAGGGGGTGATGACAGTGGTGTGTCAGGGAACCCGACTAGGAGTGCACTTGTACTGTTGGCCATGGCCCAGCCTGGGGATGCAATCAGTGTTAAGATTGAAGAAGAAAACCAAGATGTAATGCATTTTAACCTTCAAAAGAAAAAAGCTAAAGGGAAAGGGCAAATTAAAGAGGAAGAAAACAATAATCAGAAACAGCTGAAAAGACCTACCCAAGGCAAACGCCAGAATCCAAGGGGAACAGATATATATCTGCCATATACTCCTCCTTCCTCGGAAAGTTGCCATGATGGTTATCAGCATCAAGAAAAAATGAGACAGAAGATCAAAGAAGTAGAGGAAAAACAGCCAGAGGTCAAAACAGGATTTATTGCCTCTTTCTTAGATTTTCTGAAATCTGGGCCCAAGCAGCAGTTTTCTACTCTTGCTGTACGCATGCCTAACAAGACTAGAAGACCGGGGACCCAGATTGTTCGTACACTTTGTCCCCCACCACTTCCAAAGACTTTATCTACAACACCCATGTCTTTAGTGTCTGAAACTGGGGTTAACAGTCCATCAGAAAAAGTTGATAATGAACTTAAAAACTTGGAGCATTTATCTTCATTTTCTTCTGATGAAGAAGATCCTGGAGTATGCAGTCATGATATTTATAAAAGCATCTCTACTACCTTAACTGCTTTGGATGCTACTTCTGATAAAAAGAAGAAAACAGGTAAGTTTTAAAAGTTAGATTCGTAATTATGACTTTCCACTGTTATTTTCCTAGCTATAGACTGGATTTTAAGCTTTCTTAGAGTAAAACAGTTCTGCAAATAAATTTTCAGGACAAAATGCACAGGTAGGTATCTTAGGGACTTATTTTTTAAATGTTCTTGGCCTGTAGGAATGTGCTGGGTTTTATGTTGCGCAGTTCTGGTTTTTCTTGGCTTTTTGCCACATGCAGCATAACTTACATAATATGCTATCCAGACTTCTCTAATGTGAGACATCTTGGGGTAGTTTATGGATACGAGGTATTGTGTTGAGGGCCCTGTTGCAGTAATAACCTGGCATATTTTCTTGGCATACCAATTTTACCTGAAGATAAACATTTTACTATTAAATATGGTTACATTATATGCAGCATGCACATTAACATTATTAAGATAAAAATAATTTTGTCCTGGCTGCAAACTATATGCCCAAAGATTTGAGTATGTGCTTCATATTATTCTCCACTTTCTTCCTTCCTTCCATCAAAACTGACATGTTTTAAAGAGTACTGCTTTATATAAACAATTGACAGTAAAGTATAAAAGTTACTATTTTAAGGAACATGTTAACAAAAAAATTTATAATAATAATATAACTTCCACTTCTGTGCCAGGAACTAGTTAGAAGTGTTGTGAGATATGCATTGATATCTCCAATATACAGATGATGTAACTGAGAGTAAATAAATTGACCAGGTCCCCACAGCTAGTAAGTAAATGACAGAGCTGGACTCTGAACCTAGGACTGTTTGGTTCTAGAGCCTATATTCCTGCTCAGTTCTTTTGTATAAAGAGAATGGTGTTTTATGAGTTAAACTGTGTTTTGTGATGTCTTTCTGGACTTGAGACTACCTTTCACTACTAAAGTGATGTGCAACAATTGGTATCCCAAGTAACATATTAGCATAAATGTCTGATAATACATTTTTATAGAATTCTTATTTTGTTACAGAGGGGAATTAGCATATTGCAGCCAGTCATAGAATGAAAGACATTATGTATGAAGCTAATCCTTGTAGGGCTTTACACTCCCTCCTCCCCTATTATATCCCCTCTTACATTCCTAGAACAAACTTTTTGTAATCTCTAGTCTAAAACTTTCTTCCAGACAGCCATTATTACTATCTCATTTTTTAGTTAAAATCATCACCGTCAACCCAGTCCTCGCTAGTTGGTCTTTGAAGTTCCCTCTTCCCCATTCCCGTTGACTCTTCTGCAAAGTACTCGTCATCTCTTACTTAGACTACTGCAGCAGACTTTAACTAGAATCCTCCCTACCAGTCTCTACACCAGTTCATCCTTCACACTGTCATCAGATTTATCTTCATAAAAAAAGGAAAGCTGATTGTTAGTTCTCTGCTTCAAAACACCTCTTTTTGCTTCATGAGCAGTAAATACATACATAAAATTCTTTAAAATCCCATCCCTTCTCATATTCTACTTTCTCGCTTTACTCACTTTCCTTCTTCCGTCATGACTGAATTTCTCATTGTTTCTTAGACCTGTGAGCCCCCTTCATAATTATGGACCTTTGAAGATGCTTCTCTATCTAGAAGGCTCTCTTCATTTTTGAGGCCAGCAGACAGACACTTAACCGTATTTTTACGCAAATAGCTGTGCCTCCTACATTTGTTTGCCAACCGCACCCTCCTCTGGGAAGTATTTAGTGTTCTTTTCTTGAATCCCTACCAAAAAAAAACCAAACCTGTTGTTGTCGAGTCGACTCTGACTCATAGCAACCCTACAGGACGGAGTAGAACTGCCCCACAGTTTTCCAGGGAGAGCCTGGTGGATTCAAACCGCCAACCTTTTGGTTAGCAGGCATAGCTCTTAACCACTATGGCACCAGGGTTTCCTGAATCGCCACAGCAGCTCCGCGGGAGAAAAGACCTGGTGATCTATTCCCGTAAAGATTACAGCCTAGGAAACTCTGGAGCGGTTCTACTCTGTCCTGTAGGGTTGCTATGAGTCAGAATTGACTTGAGGGCACACAGCAACAATTCCATGTTCATCTTCGTATTTCTGCGGCCCGAAACATAGTAGGCGCTCAAGAAATGTTTGTTGACTAAATGAGGATATGTAAAAGAAAAATGGAACATTAAACGTTAAGTAGCTAGATTTTGCTTTAATTTTGTGTCTAGAATTCTGAGTTTTGCACACATGTCATACAGTGTCAGATAGTTGGAATGTGATCACAGGATATGATGGGCCTGTGGTACTCCAGATTGCATGATTCCATGGTAAATAAGTTTAAAGGGGGGAGGATGATATTCCATTGATACCAACTTCGAAACACTTGTATATTTTCTGGAATGTAGACTTTTTGCTAGCTTTTATGTCCTTCTGCTATAGCCAATCTTAGCATATGAAGGAGATGTCCTTATACGTGAAGATGTTTCCTCCCGTTTGTTGATTTTAAATTATTCAAATGCCTAAAGAGCATATTCCTTGTTCTAAAAAATAATGGTGTTTTCTAGTAAGTAATAATAATTTTTGTGATGAAAGAATTGTCTAAAAATTATTTACCTATTTACTTCCATTATGAAATTGCATTATGAAAAAAAACCAATGGAACGTTGGCTGGGATCAATGTAAACTAAATGCTAGACTCAGGCAAGATGGTGCACAGTTGTCTAACACTCTTATTTCTATATTTACATTAAAATGACCAATGGCATATATAAAGAGGGGAAGTCCTGCTTGAATGCTGAAACTTGGGAAGGATGCCACTCTCACCAATATCTATTCCCTTCAAATTGAGTTCAAATGCAGTATAAAACTAGTTTTTGTTTATAAAATGTTTCTGAATCTATATCAAGTAATTTACTTGGCCAGTGGAAGCAGTCTGTTAGGTTTATGCTAATAAAGTCTAAGTACAGATTGCTTTCATTCAAAGTAAGTAGTATATTTCTTCAAAATAGAGGCCAAGCTAAAGAACATAGTTTTATTTCTTCCTTTCCCACCTATACCTTTTTCATTTCCTGTCTTAATATATAGACTGGGACTTCCAGTCTGATGTTAAGAGTGGAGTGTGAACATCCTTGCCTTGTTCATGATCCTTGGGGGAAAGAAATAAGTCTTTCACCATTAAGTATGATGTTGACTGTGGGTTTTTTGTTTTTAATAATATTTTATTGTGTTTTCGGTGACAGTTTACACAGCAAATTAGATTCCCATTTAATAATTTCTACACAGTTTGCTCAGTGACATTGGTTACATTTTTCATAGTGTGTCAGCTTTCTCATTATTTATTTCCATTTAGGTTGTTCCATTTCTAGTAATTTAGTTTCCCTGCCATCTTGCCTTCTAATCTTTGCTTTAGAGTAAATGTTGACCGTTTGGGTTCATATAGATGATTTTTTATAAGAGCACAGTACTCATGGGTGATATTTATTTTATGAGCCAATCTCTTATTTAGCTAAAAGATGACCTCATGGAATAGTCACAGTTAGTTCAGGGTTTAAAGAATCTCAGACAGCAGTCTTGGGGGAATCCTTCAGTCTCAACCAGTTCAGTAAGTCTGGACTTTTTAAGAATTTGAGTTTTGTTCTACATTTTGCTCCAATTTTATCAGAATCTATCTATAGTGTTAGTGGTAGCTGGGCATCGTCTAGTTCTTCTAGTCTCAGGGGAGATGAGGTCGTGGTTCCTATAGAATATTAGTCCTGTAGACTAGTTTCTTTGACTCTGTTTTTTCTTCTCTTTTACTCTGGATGCATAAAGACCAATAGTTGTATCTTAGATGGCTGCTCGCAAGCTTGTAAGGTCCCACATGCTACTTACAAACTAGGATGTAGAAAATAAACTTTATGTACTATATTATGCCAATTGCCTAAGTTGTCCCATGAGACTATGATCCTAAGCCTTCAGACCGTGTAAACCAATCCCACAAGGCATTTGGTTAAATTTAAGAGGTATCTGTGTTTATGCCCCTTATGTGCTTTATTGTATATATGAATATATATGGATGCATATACTTATACACATCTGCATATAGATACATCTATATATGCTCACATATATACACACATATACATACCTATATACTCGTATGCATATACGCATACACATGTAACTACACCTGTATTTTTTAGTTGTTGTTGCAATTATAATTTTTTTTATAGATGCCCTTATCAGGTTAAGGAACTTTCTTACTTTTCCTAGTTTGCTTATAGCTTTTATAATGAATGGAGGTCGAATTTGTCAAATGCTTTTTCTTCATCTGTTAAAATGACCTTGTATTTTTCTTATTTAGCCTGCTAATACAGTGAATTACACTGATTTTCAAGTATTGTCCCAACCTTGCATTCCTAGGATAAATTCCTCTTTTATACATTGATGGATTCAATTTTCTAAAATTTTGGGAGGATTTTTCCATCTGTGTTCATGAGGGATATTGGTTTATAGTTTTCTTTTTGTAATGTCCTTTTCTGGTTTCGGTATCTGCTTATTGCTGGCCTGCTAAATGAGTTGAGGAGTGTTGGCTCCTTTTCTGTTTTCTTCAAGAGAGTGCGTAGGAGTAGTCCATAAATGTTTGGTGAATTTGTGAATGAAACCATCTGTGCCTGGAGTTTTCTTTGTCAGAAAGTTTTTAACTATGAATTCAATTTCTTTGATGCAGAATATCCAGGTTGTCTGTTTCCTTTTGACGTGTTTTGGTAGTTTGTATCTTTTAAGAAATTTGTCCATTTTATCTAAGTTGTCAAATGTATGGGCAAAGAGTTGCTGGTGTCCCCAGACTCTCTGGTAGCCCAGAACTGAAACCATTCCTGAAGCCAACTCTTCAGACACAGGTTAGACTGGGCTATAAGACATACAATGATACTTGTGAAGAGAGTGCTTCTTAGCTCAAGTAGATACATGAGACTAAATGGGCAGCTCCTTTCCGGAGGTGAGATGAGAAGGCAGAAATGGAGAGAAGCTGGTTGAATGGACATGGGAAGTCTGCGGAAAGGAGGAG